GAAAAAGTAGTTTAGTTGGGTGAGAAATGCACAATAAAAAAACGCACTAGGTGGGGTTATGTTTTATGAAATTTCTCTTGTCGTTGTTTTCACTGCGGAATTTTATTTTATTAACGAATAAAAGAAAGCGGATACCTCATTGTTCGGTGGTATGTTTGGGCGAATTTTTCGCCAGAAAGAGTAAGAATAACATTAATCTCACTCATCTTCATATGCTAGAACTCTTTACTCCTTGTGTGAATCATTCGTATTCATTCACTCCACAGAAAATCCCCATAAGGATCTGTCAACCTGTGCGCCATATTTCGTAGGCCCGAATAGAAGTGAACTTCAGTCAACATTTAACCTGTCAAAGCGAAAAGAATTGACCGATATTCCTAAACAGAGCTATACATAGGTGCACTGAAAAAGATTTTATGGTTGAAATTTTTTTTTTCAAGAAATATATTTTGCGTTCTTTATTGAGCGCCTCCTTCGCTTTTAAAAAAAGTGACTTTAGTGACTTTTTGACGAAAATAGAGACTTTGAAGTGACCACCTTAAAAAAAGTGACAAAGTCACTAAAAAGTGACCCGCTATCAGCCCTGTATATCAGGGTTGAGCGGTTGTCATCGTACAGTTCCCCCCAGCCTGTACCGTGGGAGTTAAAATCTCATAAGATCAACCGAGGCTCAGATAAAGCTACGCAGATATCAGAGAAACCTTGGCGAGAAATCGCAGTTCTTGGAGGAAGATATACACACCAAATTTTAAAATCCTGTTCCAGCAAATTGAATCGCTGAATCGCGTCCAGCAAAACCAACTTTAACTGAAATATGAAATATTTTGCTGAACGTACCAGTAAACTGCATTAAACGTCAAAATCAGGCCAAAATCCATCATTCTCTCCTTCACGGTTTATGATTATTTTTATGTTCAAGAAATGTTCGACTAACAACTCCTTGAACTCCTACAAAATATCATGGAAATTATATAAAAAGAGCATTTGCCATGAAGTAAGTATACTAAACTACCTTAGCAATCTGAATTAAGTGAAAAAACTTTCGTTTTTCTCTGAAATTTAAAGCTTTCTTCATTCGTAAACTTACCCAGGTGTTTCCTTAATAAAGAAACAACAACAATAATAACGCACCCAGGATTGCCCATCATAGCTTCTTGAAGACATGATTTTTTAAGAAGTGCAGTTACATGGAAATGTAATCAAATATTAATTCCAACAATAAGATGCCTCTTTCTTAAAAAAAAAAAACAAATTTGCTGCTCTTCCAGCAAAATGATTGATCTTCCGTTTTGCTGGATAATCAGTAAAGTGCTGTCAATTTGGCATTTAACGAAATTGCTGGTCGTCCAGCAAAAATATTTTGCTGGATGGATTGCTGAACTTTCAGCTCGGAAAAATCCAGCAAAATATTGCTGGTTTCCAGCGATAAAAAAATAGTGTGTACTGAGGCTTTTACCTCGAATATTTACCTGACATGCGACAACTTCAATGCCTGTCACGGAAGGCAGATCGATTCTATAAAAGGAATGGAGCTTATTAATCCCGAGAAGCACCCCTCCATACGAATCTGCTCGATCAAGGCGAATAATGTTAAAATCGTGGAAACGGAGATCGGTGTCTGAAGAAAGCCATGTTTCACAAAGAGCAAATGCATCACAAAGTGAGTTGTGAAGTAAAAATTTGAATGTGTCAAGTTTCGGTATAAGACTTCTACAGTTCCACTGAAGAACAGAGATCATATCCCCGACCTCATTCGGAAAATTATCCATCAAAGGATATGATCGACGCAAGGAAGGACCACCTAGAAGCTAGTTGCTTCAAAAGAGTTTTCACAAATGGAAGCACTAAATTAATAATGTTCCTAGTTGAGTCAGAGACGTTGAATATATTGAAGATACTCTCCACAATTCCAGAAAACGTGAACATGGCATCATGTTCTTGCTGGTTATTCAGCTGTTTTTCTGGCTGAAAAACTGGGATATCTGGGGTTTTAGATGATCCCGGAAGTGGCGGAAAGTCTTTGTTAAAATTACAAACTTTAAATCCCGGTGGTGGGGGTTTTGCTACATTTCCGCTACCTCTTAAATTTGTCAAGGTAGGTTGAGAGTCCGTACGAGAGGCCTTACGAGGTTTTTGGGTGACGTTTGTTTTGGACTGCTTCCTCGTGTTGCTGTTAAAGACAAAATGACTACTCTCACCAACCTCTGAGTCAGAGCCCTGATCATCATCTGGCAGGAGGTGGAATGTGTTGTTGCTTTTTGGGATGGTTTGGGAAGATCAAGCGGTCGTTTTCAAAATTTCTGCTAACGAGCGCTTAGAGCGAGGCCGACTCAAAATCATCAGCGGCGGCGCGGCGCACAGGCTAGGATCACCCACCCTTACAACATAAGTGTAAAAAATGTAGAGTTCATTTCCAGTGATGTGCTCAAAGAGTTAATGAATACTCACGCGATGTTCTCATAGTATCAAACTCATACACCTTCATCCATTGTCATAATTTAGATGTACTGTACAACTGTAGAATAAGAACGAACCCTCGAACGACAAATAACTAAAGCGGTAAAAGTACGACTGAAACCAGAAAACTGAAAATAGTTGTTGCAATCGAGCAAAGCAGTGCATTTTGACAGTTCACTTGGAACCACTTTTGGCAGACATCCATACTTTTATTGTTGGGCTTTATAAATAACCTTTTTTTAACTCTTTATTTGTTCCAAATTCAAAATAAATTACATTTCATTTTAACCTAGGTGCTCCAGTTACTACAGTAACTTACCAGCCTTAATTGTCATGATATATATCTAAGTGTTTTTACATTGTTCCTGCCTTGGAAATTCAGTATTCTAAACAGGTTTTTTAAACCTGCATGTCAGTATAACAATTGAAATCTTAAAACTAAAAACTAAAACTAAATCTTATCTAAGTATAAAGGGAATTAATCGTTGCAATTGAGGATTGCAACGATTTTTGCCTGAAGTTATTAATTATTTTGTTGGACATTTGTTCTAAAGTCCCAACATTCGAAATTCTATGTACCTCGGTAGTGCTGTACCAAGGAGGCAACTTCAAAATCATCTTCAGAACTTTGTTCTGAATCCTTTGAAGTGCTTTTTTCCTGGTAGTGCAACAACTAGACCATATTGGCACAGCGTAAAGCATGGCCGGTCTAAAAACTTGTTTAAATATAAGAAGTTTATTCGTCAGGCAAAGTTTGGATTTCCTGTTTATTGGATACAAACATTTTATATATTTGTTACATTTGGCTTGAATGCCCTCAATGTGATCTTTAAAAGTTAATTTTTCGTCAAGTATTAATCCAAGATATTTCACTTGGTTTGACCAGGAAATTGGAACTCCGTTCATAGTGACTATGTGACTACTACTAGGTTTCAAAAAGGAAGCTCTAGGCTTATGTGGAAATATTATAAGTTGAGTTTTGGAAGCGTTGGGAGATATCTTCCATTTTTGTAAATAAGAACAGAAAATATATAAACTTTTCTGCGGTCTGCTGCAAATAACACGAAGCCTTCTTCCTGTTTAAATGTTATACAATATAGGCTCAAGAATGCTACCCTGAGGAACTCCTGCTCTAACAGGTAGTCGATTAGATTTGGAATTTTGATAATTTACCTGCAGAGTTCTGTCAGTTAAATAATTTTGAACTCATTTCATAATATAAAGTGGAAAATTAAACTTTTTCAATTTAGCAATCATACAATACAATGTTACAATAATGTGACGACCCACGAGAAAATTTTGGATTAATAAGATCATTCAAATTAATTGTCCAAAGACATAATTTAAATTTTAAATTTGCATAATTTCAGAAAATTATACAAGTTTTTTTTTGGGTACTGTGACATACAAAAAGGGAGGAGTTATCATTTGTGACGCCATGTGACAGAGTCCTAGGGAGTGGCTAAAATTGATGGACGTGATATTTGTATCGCCCCACAAAGAATCGAATGAGAAACTCGAGAACAAGCGTATCCTAATGGAGGAGATAGTGGCTTTTTCACGCTTTTTCAACCATTTGTCGGTTGGATAGTTTTTGTCAAGGTGATGCTATCCAGAAGCTTGGGCTCTGATGCCACTTCGCACTTTTCAGGGGACAATTATCTGCTAACGGAAAACATACTACAGCAAAACTGCTTCCCCATGGTTGCAGCGACGCATGCCTGAATGTAATGCCTGAAATCGCAAGTGTCCGATTAACTCTATAGAAAACTCGAAGTGGCAATGCAAGTTCCTTATGATTTGTGGACGCAAGATCGTATTACCTTAAAACTTTTCTAAACTGAGTACACGCTATTTTAAAACTACCCAGACAACCTACCCAAAAATGGACCAATTATGTTGGAAGTTAAGTTGACAAATGAACAGCATTCATCGGATTCATGATTCTACCCAAATTTGAGATACTTTAAAAACCGTGTGCTCATGGAAAACTTGATCCTGTTTGCTCAGCAGGTACAAACGATGACGAAACATGAGTTTTTGTCTATAAAGTCTAATGGCATCAAGAAAATTTAAAAGTTGAATCAATATAATTTGCACTCGGACACCACTGTCACTGTCGATCAACGATCACTGCAGCAGAATAAAACAACTCTATGAGCTAAACTAAATGTGCTGCATTTGGTATCTAATACCTATTCATATTTTTTTTTTTATTAAATTTTGTTTTACAACCGGATTACAGTCCCGTAAGGAACGGGATTTACGGCATTACGGGACGAGGTCGATAGTGTGTAGCTGTGTGAATTCAGGAATGAGTGTGCATGAGCAGGATTTACAGCGGTTTGAGACAAAAGTACTAGAAGATTGGTCTCTTCTCGAGAACTAACGCAAATAACGGCTCTGCTCATGTTTGCAGAAACAGCTTCAACTCCGCTTTCGACACGAAAAAACACTGCACCAGCAGAAGCTTCACCTTTTTTCGGACCAAGTGATATCCCCACTATACAAAAATATTCACAATTTTGAACTAATCAACTTACTTGAAATCCCAAACGGCACTGATTTGACGATCGCAGTTGAAATTATTTAAGAAACCTTAAAAAAAATTTACATAGAGCAAACCTTTTACCACATAAAAACTCGTGTGTTTCACAAAATCTATTCTGACACTCGCAAACCAAAAACAAAACATTGATGTTGTCTGCCACTGTCAATAGTCCATTCTATATGCGCGTGTATTGATGGTTTGAAAGTGAGGATAACAATAACAAACCAACATTTTTAGCTGGCGTGAAGGTGAAGATAACAAACTTCGCGCTTGACAATGGAATTACGCAAATGTGCGTGTAATTAACGTCAGAAAGGTTAATGCGGCTGGTAGGATTGGGCGATCGTTCCAAAAGTATCATGCATGTATAAAAGTATACACTGAGGCAAATATACCAAATAGTTTCATAAGGCTCGACTTATGACAAGCCGGCGCCGGTGTTGTGGTAAACTTGACTGCTTTAATTCTCACTCCCAATGGGTGTGGGTTCAATCCCAGCCGAGGTCGGTGGGATTTTTCTAAGGCATAAACATCTCTGGTCACGTCTTCCTTCGGAAGGGAATGTGTGTTTGAATGGGTGCGATATCCTACGCAGGTTGCTGCACATTCGATTACCGTCAATGGATGACAATCGATGTCCGTCGGTGATTGGCACTAGATTGCGGAACAGAGACCGACGTTAAAATAAAGGAATGAAGAAGAAGAAGAAGACTTATGAAAAAATATATAAATTTCATAAGCGTGTCTTATAACTGATTTTCGGGTAACATGAGTTATAGTACGTTCAGACTACAGAGTTATAACATGTTATAGCGCTATCTTGATTGTTGTTTCTGTGTTGCAATTATTTGACAACCGTTATAACATGTTATAACTCTCCAGTCTGTACAGCGTTTTAGCTCTTATACACGGAGAACAAATTATAGCAGACGCAATTATTTTTCCGGTCAAAATAACTATATTGTTCAATTGTTTTAGAGATAACCCGAAACTATAGTTGATTTGACTATATATAGAGGGCAACAATTTAAGTCCATAGTTGGCTCCTCGGTTAGCTCAACTATGTTTTTCAGTAGATGAACAAACATCAAACTTCAAAATACAACTATGCTTTAGTTGATTCAAGAAAACTATTGTTAGGAAAGCAAAATTTTACAATGTTTATTAAACAAACTGCTCTTCATTATCGACATATTATGGAAGTTTGTGTTGCTTCTTTATCGACCTCAAAAACACAAATGCAAAATCATAAAAAAGTGAACAAGAAGATTCAACTTAGATTTGAACCGTGTTCATCTGCGTGAGAGCCAGCTATCTTATCGCCTATTCTACGCATCACAAGTTAAAGGTATGTGGATTTATGATGATCACTTGAAATCAAATTAAATAAATTAATTACATTTGACGGTTGTTATAATTCATCAAAGTTATAGTTGAATTGAGTATAAGATGAACAGTTGAATCTATTAGGTAGATATGATTGAGTTGACGGTCAAATTCATGTTCGAATAACTATAGGTTTCTTTCAAACAACAATATTTTTCCATGTGAAAGTAACTATTAGGATTGCTATCTTAACTTAACGAATTTGTTCTCCGTATACGCCTTTAACCATTTCATTTTCCCAAGCGACGAGTGGTCAACACACACGTTGGCAAAATAACGTAGGAATTCCATAAGAAAAAGTATGATTTAAATTCAATTAACCCTGGTGCGTAGGGGGCGACCCCGGTGTAGTGTTTAACATCCATACCTCTCACGCCAAAGTCACGAGTTCAAATCTCACCCCCGGACAAGTCGCGAATGACCCAAGAGTCCTGATGAATGTGGGCGTCTTAGTGGAACCAAGAGTGTTAAAGTGACTATAATAATAAAAAAAAAACCCTGTTGCGGTCTTCATGAAGGCTGCACATTGTAGTCGAAATAATTATTTGTCATGGATACCAAAATTAATTAAGAGGATTTAAATGGAAGATAACTTTTTTGCTGTTTTATTTTAAGTAAATTAAAGATTTTGTTCCGTTTCCCTTGCATTTTCCCATACAACATTTAACATTTTGCTGCAAACCCAGAGCACAACCAAAACCATTCAAATGTTGCATAGTTCTTTTCTTGATTTGTTTTCCGTCGATCTTGTTTTCCGTGCTGAGCACCACTGCTACCGACGCCAGGAAGACAGCTCCCACACCTGGACCCTACCTATCGACCCATCAACTCATGAACCGGGGACCAACGGCTTTATCAAAGATGTTATGTCTCAGAACATCCGGCGGCGCCGACTGGGATTGAACCCAGGCCTGCTGGGGTGAGAGGTAATCACGCTTACCACTACACCACCGGCACCGCTAATGTTGCATAGTTGTCGAGGACCTCAATACAGATTAAAAGAGCAGTGCAAGGGGTTGTTAAGTTCACCCACCCTAATGCACAATCAATAAGATATTTTATGAATTATCATTTATTTTATAAAAAATCTTCTACATATACATATGCAACGGGTCAACCGAGATTACTGTTTGTCCTGTTAATTTGAACTTCTGTGCAAATTTTCAGCAAAATCGGTGATGATTTAGAGGTGCTTCAAGTTAATTTTATGTTTTTAAGGTAATTTACGGCTTATAATATTTGTATCTCGAGACTGAAACAACAAAAACTGCTGTTACAGCAAAGCTTAATGTGTTGTCTACCAAGTTTGTGACCAAAGGTTGACTATTTAAAGTGGTTTTATTGAAGTTTGACTTAGTTTCATGCTCGAAGATATCTTAAATAAGTGAAGAATTTTAAAGTATTTGTTCTACGAACTTGTGTAGTGTAGTCTACGGCATAATGTTCCTCATACTGTTCTAGAAATTTCGTTTTATACATATTTTTCGTGTAGATTCCATAGATTGAGAGATAAAAATCAGAAAAGAGGCCGTTATAGCTAAAATTCACAAGACAACAGGGCCAATAAAAGTTTCAATTAGATTGACAGAACATAGTTGCATTGCTTTTCAATGACGACCGATGACGCATATGTTTTGCACAATGTCCTGAACATCTTCATTAGTCTATAAATCTCACATGCTGACAATGTATCTCATTTCTCGTAATCCAAGATGGTTCTTTTCAAAATAAAATTTGGCTTCGTTTCTCGCAACTCGAATTTGATTGCACTTTTCCGTGCAAAATTTGATTACGCTTCTCGTAATCCAAATTCAGTTACGTTTTTCGTGGCAAAAATATTAAAAATAGTAGTTTTTTGTTTTGTTTGGTGCTAAGTAGTGGTCGTCTACCCAGGACTATCCACGAAAACAGCACGAATATGGTTCATATTGCGTCAAGTGTCCGAGGCACCTGAAATTGACCTCGAGTAATTTGCGAATTTCCTGAGATACAGCATTTTGAAGCAAATAATGCTTAACATTATAAGAAAAGAAAAAACATTTTCCTCGCCTGCTATTTAAATTTATGTAAAGGGTATTGTTCAAAATTGCAAAAAAAAATGTATGCAACTTATTGCAAAGCTCGATTTTTTCAGCACTCGTCTTAGTTCGTGCTGGAAAAATTTAGTTGCTGCAATAATTAAAAATAACAATAAATAAAATCTTTCAAGAAAGTGATTTTTTGCGGCATTTTCCAAAGCAGATGGAATCCTTCTTCAGACTTATTCTATTGAATTCTCAGCTGCTCGATGAATCTAGAAATATATATTTTTGGTACAGTGTTGATGCCTCTATAACTACACCTCTAGTTATTGTATCTAAAACGCAAAAACACATAAACTACCTTTAATCGCATATCAGTCAGATATTGATTTTTGTCAATTTTGAGATTACAACGACGTGCACTAACAATTTGCACAAGATTTTATATTATGTATGAATGGTACGAACTCAGATGCATTATACAAATCAATTGTCCAAAAAAAAATTCAAATTTTTTGAATTGTTATATGTTTCGTTTACCAATAAACTTGAAAACTTAATTGTTCCATTTTATCATCATAAAATAATTATCAATACTAGAATTTTTAAAATATTTACGTGGGAGTTGCAGTTTGAAACTTCGACAGCCATATGGGACTATGGATACGGTTAAAGCAAGTAAACGCAGCACAGTTGTGTACTATTTTCAATCATTAAATTATAATGCTGTACAGTGGATCAATATGAATTTCTTTACAACAATTCAGTTCACCGAACCTTATAAGTATTTGAAACCGATTTTAGGATGAATTAACTGAAACCGTCTTTCTTATTATATTGGCTTTATTACGTCCCTTGTGAAATTTTGCTTTCAATCAACTTAGTGTTCTAGATGCACTACCACAGTTGTTAATCGAGAGTTTTCTAATCCGATTACCATTTTTGTTTTAAAATAATTGTGTGGCAGTGACTGTACTCATACTCTATGCCCACACTGAACCAATATGACATATTCCTGTTATGTGAAAGTGTAATAAATTTGCGCTATAAGATAATCCAATGAAAATGATATGATTGAAAATGTGTCAGGTAAATTCTATATGAATATCTGATACATTTGCAATGCTGATAATTTGGTAACTTTTATATGATCGTCATATGATAAATGAAAATAAGTCAAATTATAATAATTAACTGAAATGGATTTTTAAACCCATATGCATAAGCTTTACTTTTCACCACAATATCCCAAGTAACACATAAAACATCTTTTTGAAAAATATTTAGAACGGCTTGTTATATAAATGTATTATAAGTGATGCAGAAAACATCCCACGTTATATATGAGGTTTATAGATGTTAAATTTTTTTATCATACTTCCTAGATTCAACATTTTCCAAAACAGTTTTCTTTTGCTTTTATCTTTAAATGTTATTTAAACGTGCATCTTACTGTTTTAATACCACTATAAAACTTGTCGTATAAAAAATTAATCTTAGTTGAATTTATAAAGTTCTTGAAGAGATTCTGAACTTTCCAGATTGACGTAAACATTGACGGCGCCATTGAGCCGGACTGTCTCTTCACGCAGTGATTGACAGTTTCTTATGAGGTATTCGAAGGTTTGTTATAAAGAAAGTTGAAAACACTTGTTTATTACATCTCATAAATTAATATAACTGAAAATGTGCAGGTTGTCTTATAAGGAGTTGAAAATACTTTAAAATAACACTCTGGCAATTAGATGTACGCTTTGCTGCTAACAAAACATCTTTATGACGGATTGAAAGCGTGTTGAACGAGAATATAATTTTCATGCCATTGGCAAGAACATGATAGATACTTATAACAAACCTGTCATCAAGCGGAGTTGGTCTAGTTAGGAAGTAGTAAGTCTACCACGCCAAGGACCAGTGATCGAATCCCATGCTCAAGTTCTTTTTTGATGTTTTTTTTTTGCCGCCGGTTTTTATGATGTTTCCAAAACATGTTAAAAGACCAGTATTTAGTTGTATAAGCTCCGCGACTTGCGCTTTTTAGGTTATATAAATGTATATGTAGACGTATATTACAGTATTATTAATTCTTTACGTAAGTCATTAAAATGTATTTTCAACTTCTTTATGACAAGCCGTGTTGCTTGGGATAATATATGTGTCATAAATTAATCGAAGTAAAGTTTATGTGGAAATAACATGTATCATTGTTGTTAGCTATATTTTGTTCGACTTATCATTTCAATGAGTGTACGATAACATCGTTGAAAATTGTTTCAATAATTTATGAAGAACAATCATGTAAGATGTATTTTATTGGGAGCGATAATTATCCCAGAAAACCATGCCAAAACAAATGTTTCCTGTTGAATTTCTTAAAAGGCAAATCTATATGACTATATAGGGGCCTCCCTTAGCTCAGTCGGTAAAGGTGCAGCTACAAAGCAAGACCATGCTGGAGGTGGCTGGGTTCAATTCCCGGTCCGGTCTAGGAATTTTTCGGGTTGGAAAATTTCTCGACTTCCCTGGGCATAGAAGTATGATTGGACTTTGCCACACAATTATACCAATGCAAAAATGGTACCGGCATCGAAAGCTATCAATTAATAACCGTGGAAGTGCATCTAGAACACTAAGTTGAGAGCACGCAATAAGCTAATATGCCATACGTAATAAGCTTGAAATACGAGGAAGAAGAAGATATGACTATATAATCATTGGGATTGATCTGTTAACAATCTTTAAACGTAAAAAATCAAAGGAAGCTATTACAATGAGATATACATGTTTTTCTATACTGCAAAGTTAAATTACTGTCCAATAGTTTCTACATGTCGATTTACACGCGAAATATCAACAAACGTAACAAATCGTTAAAAGCCACTTCAATAAAATAAACATAATTATCTTATAAGAAGTATCTTTTAGTGAGCAATATTCATCATGAAAACAGTTATATTTTACTGACTTTTCTCATAGTGCAAACTAATATGATTTTCCATTTGTTTCTAGATGTCTGTTCCCACCCATTACATATCACTAGTTTTTTACCATGAAATAAATCAAACAATATTCATATACACACTTAGTTTTTTCTACCGAGGTCGGCTGTGCAAATCTCGGCAAAAATAAGTATCACTGAGATCTCAGCAAAAGTGACATTTGATTGCTGAGTCTCGGATAATGCTTAGCTGAATCTCAGCAAACAAATGAAATGTTTGCTGAGATCTCAGTAACACTTTTTTTACCGAGATTTGCACAGCCGAGCTCGGTAAAAAAAACTAAGTGTGTACATCTTATACCCCGTTCACATTACAGCGTATATCACGTGATATACGCTGTCTTGCAATGAGCACTCATACATAGGATTTCCAGTGAAAACTAGATGTATGAGTGCTCATTGCAAGATAGCGTATATCACGTGATATGCGCTGTAATGTGAACGAGGTATTATTTGTCGCTAACCACGCTCGAAGCAAAGTATTATCAAGTACTACGTATGTGAAATTACGATAGAAATCATTCCATATCGCAGTCATAGTTTTTAAGTGATAATCCAATGGAATCTATCAATCATCACATAGAATGAATATATCTATGTTATACCCCGTTCACATTACAGCCTATATCACGTAATATAGGCTGTCTTGCAATGAGCACTCATACATAGGATTTCCAGTGAAAACTAGATGTATGAGTGCTCATTGCAAGACAGCGTATATCACGTGATATATGCTGTAATGTGAACGGGGTATTATAAGATAGATCCAATAAACGGTACATGTCGATTTGTTTCAGTGCAGGGATGATAAGAAATGTTCCAAGCCAAAAAATTGTGCCGGGTTTTTGAATTGCGGATCGCCCAGTAATCATCACAGAAATAATTTGCATTACCGAACTGTCCGTAAAGTCAATCTGTCAAAAATAACTGTTCATTCAGTAATTGGTTCAAGTTGCGTATACTGCACACTTAAACAGAGATAGTAGATGGAAAAAAGACCTCACAAACTAACCGTTGATTGGAGATAGGCATTATGGATCAAAACGATGGAAGTAAATATGAAATAAAAATGCCAATCATTCTAAAGTCTGGGAAGTGATTCAATTTACATTGAAAAATTTAAATAAAAACTTCTTGTCATGTTTTACATTTATCTTCCAAAACTCTATATAACAGCAACTATAATTTGAACTTATATTGTTTAATCTATCTTATACGTAAAAAAAAGTCTGTGAAACGCGATGGTGCTATCAAACCAGATATTTAAATCAAATTTCATAAATGTTTTTAGATGGAATATGATGCATTTTTGGTTTTATGGTGCGTCGTCCTCATGTGTTTTATGTAATTGTAAGAAGTCAATATTAACAATGCTATTAATAAACAAAATCCTATTATGGTGAAAGATATTGATGACACATGTTTGCTGAATAGTTTATTTATAATATACTGGAAAAGATTCAATTAGGTTTCACGAAGAAAAATTGTTTGCCTGATGCAACTGAATCAACACCTCCGAAAAATATCTTTCTGTTCAAATATTCATGGTCTGTCTGTTTCCGATGAATATTAGGTTCATCAGTATTGTTCGAAGAGTTGTAAACATCACACCGTATTGCTTCGTTGAGTAAATATCCATTCACTGGAAAAAGCAACATGAAACGATTCGTATCGCTTCTGATCGCCTTCTATTTTCTTTATCATGCCTCAGCTCAAAGTAATCTTATCGATTATGTTGTTAATAGGAAACAGAACATTGAAATTTGTGAATTTTTGTGCTCGATTTCAGATATTGCTTGTTATTACGATAGTCATGCGGCCAGCTATGCAAGTCCGTTACTTCCAGATGCATTGATTGCCGCAAATTGTACCCATTACATCTACATTGGGATTGGATTAACTGTAAAAGGAGAAATTCGCTTCTTAAACGAAAGTTTTGATACGGCTAGTAAGGCTCTCAGGAATGATGCAGACAATTTCCGATTAATCTGAAACATTTTCCATTTCAGGTGGTTTCTTATTTTTCCAATACCTGCGCACTCCCGCAACGAAACTATTGATCCTGCTTGGGGGAATCTATGAAAGCAGTGCTACATTTTCAACGGTAACATAGCAAATATTTTTAATAATCCCCCCTAAGCATCATCGAAAGAAAGAGCGAAAAATCCCTTTTCTATAAAACATCATTTTCTGTTGCTCGTTTTGCATAGGCCGTTGCGAGCTACTCGGACACCCTTATCAATAACATAGCCCTGTTCCTGACCCGTTATAACTTTGATGGCATCGACATTGACTGGCGCTACCCGGGAAGTCAGGGCGGACAACCAATTGACAAGGTAATAATGTTATTTTTATAATGCCTTTCTAGAAATTGGTCAACCGCATCATACGTTAGTTTCATATAGGGATCTGAAAACATCAGTCTTTTTTGCAGGTCAATTTCCAAAAATTTATCACTCGACTTCGGGCTAGGCTCAATATGATAAACAAGCTGTTAGTGGTATCCGTTTCACCGAACAAGAGTGTGTTCGAGAAAGCCTACGATAGCATCACGCTGAGTTTGTGAGTAGTTTTCGATCATCTATTTTCGTACATTTTACCACTACCATATCTGGCATATCTTAATAGTTCATAATACTTTATAACCGTCAACTAGTACTGGTGATATAACCGGGTGTCTGCTGACCTAGAAACAGGGAATTCACAGGGAATTTTAATATTCTTGAATATTTAGATCTCATCATGGTATAGAGAATTTTCAAATTCTCTTACTAAGAATGTTTTTAAGCATGCAATGCATTTTACAATGCAAACCTTTAATTTTCATTATTATTTTCATTGCTGAACAACATAGATTTGACGCAATTTTCAGACGAAAATTTCAGCAAAAAATAACAATAACAAACTCAGAGATTTGAAATGGTATTTTTTTTTATTTTCTGTTTCTGTAATATACATATTTTCCACAAATTTAAAACTTGAAGAACTGTTTCAATGTCTGGGTTAAAAGAAATTATTCTTCAATATATTTCCAAGAGCCTGGAGTTTAATCCACTGCACATTTTAAAAGCTCTTGGAATTTGATTATAAGGGATCTGCAATCTGCTTTTAAGATAGCTCTGAGGAGTTCTAGATTTCAAGTGAAACCGTGATAATTTTGAGTATAATTTCAAGAAAATCCTGAATTGCATTCAAGGTGTATTTTAATAAAAGGTCATTGAAATGACTGAGGATTATTCAATGATAATTCTGAGCAGAACTTCTGGGATTCCCAATGAAAAAAAAAATCAAGAGCAAGCTGAGAATACTTTAAAACAAATTATGGGAAAAAATTAATCCGGAGCATATGTAATTCCTTGGACATTTTAGGAGGGTGGGGTATCCTTAATGGAAGACTACAATTAAATATGGGAATAACTCCAAGATATCTTCAAAGGAATTGGGAAAAGAATTCCAGGAGAGTTTGCTAAATTTATTTTGATGCGAAACCGAAGGAATTTGTGGGGATAACTATAAATCAATTCGTAGCAACCTTTAAATGTGAGTAAAGAGTGTCCCTCATCAAATTCCATCACGGAAAAAATGCTGCTGAAAATTACCTAGTTGACCGCTCCTTTCAAACTTTTAGACAGTAAAATATAACTCATTAATAAGCTTTTGGCATATTTATTTCATTCTACTTCAATACTATAACCGTACGCTCGCACCTTACGCTTAACTCCACTCATTAGGTTCTGTACAACATCCTGGCTGCAGCTTCTTCTGTACGGAAACCCACTTTTTCTTCAAGTCTTCCTCATATTTGATCTCCTTGGGATGCTTCCGTAGTGCCTGCTTCACAATAGCTCAGTATTTTTCGATGGGCCTTAATTCCGGTGCGTTGAGGAGGAGGGGGGGGGGTTCCTGTCCTTGGGTATGAAAGTGACCCTGTTGGCTTCGTACCACTCCAGGACAACATTTGAATAGTGGCACGAAGCTAGATCCGGCCACCCATGGGTAATTTTCTACAGTTTTTTTTCCGTGATGCAATTTGATGTGATACACCCTTTAGAATAACAAGGAAAGGAGTGAGTTTCAAAGATAATTATGAAATTAATGCAGGGACAATTCTGAGAATTATTCCAAGTTGTTTCTTACTGAGAAGAATTTAAAGGAAAAATCTAGGAAGAACTTGTGTTCAGAGGATATTTCCAACGTTTTGAGTAATATTTCAAACGAATTCTGAGAAGTATTCTAACGATTATGGTAAATCTTGTATGCAATCAGCTCGCCTTAAATCTTTAAAATACCAACTAATTTTTCGTGTATTGATTTATCAGGTTAAAGGTTGATTAAAACGTTACGATGTGTTATTGGTCTATGAAATTGGCCTTATTCAGGGCATTTAAAGATGTACCATCTTCAATTAAGCACAAACAGTTTAACGATTAAAAACTTTAACGAGCTCTGATAATCACAACACCTTGGATTGAAACGTTGGTGATGATAAAACTGAAACCACCACTTTTTCATGAAGAATGCAAATGCGAAACAACAATATTGATTCTTCAAGATCTTTAAGCTGCCCCAAAAGTATTCGGTGCTTTCCTGAAGTTGGGAGTTGGGTACGCGGGTACCCTGTCGCGCACATAACGGTTAATATTCATGAAAATTTGACTGAAGATTGCATGTTTTGTGAGCTTTCTTGTGAACAATATTTGAAAAGTATTGAATTTATTCTCTGAACATCAACGAAGTTCTCTAGCTTCCCTGAATTTCTCAGGATTTTTAGAAAATTCCTCAAATTTTCCTGCCTTTGCCTTGAAGTTATTTGATCTATGCTTATGTTCTCGCCATTTCAATGAAGTTTTTAAAATTTCCTAAAAGCTCATGGAACTTCCCTTAAAATCTTTTTACTTCCCTGATCTTCTCAGGACTGGTCTGAAGTATTCATTGCTTTATGAAGTTTCCCAATAGATCAGGAAGTTCTTGGAACTTTTCTTGCGTTCGAGCATCTCTGAGGCTCTTCAAACTTCATAAAGTTTTCCTCATGGTCTTTGCACTTCTCTGAAGTTTTCTTTACTTCCATGAAGCTTTCAGGGTATATAGAACTTCTTAAAAGATTCCTTGAAGCTGCTGAAAGCACCTTGAAGTTCTTGCCTTTTGAGCACTTTAAAATTTTCAGAACTATTACTATCCCGTCAAATTATTTTTTGTGGACCACCTGAAACTCCCTAATCTTTCCTGAAGTTCTTGCAACACCCCTGAAGTTCGTGAAACTTCCCTGTAGTTCTCACTACTCTTCCAATGACGTTTCAGGAAATACCCTGAAATGAATGTAGCTGCCATAAAGATCTCTAAACTTCCCATCATTTTCTGCATTTCCGTAAATTTGTTGGGACTGCTGTGAAGTCGAGTGAAGTTTCCGTAATTTTTTTAAAGTTTTCAGAACTCCTCGGATGTCAATCTGTTCTATCTTTAATTTTTGGAACTGAATTTAAAGGAAACTTCCCTTAAATCTTAAACTCATCTGAAGTTTTGATAACGTTTGTGAAGTTAATTGAATTGACCTGAGGTTATTGAAGTTTTCAAAATTGCTCCAAGGATCTTGCTTCGAACTTTTCTATGTTTTTTTTTTCTAGACTTCGTGAACTTCTTTGAACTTAAGCTCCTTCTATTTTCCCGACTCAATAAGAGATTTTTATTAATTCGATTGTATTTTTTTTTTTCGAGGACGCTTAATGGCAACCCTATTTAAATTGTTATGGTTATTTTGCTTAACGACTCACAAGAGTACACAGTAATGGATGGTCATCCAAAAATTCCCTAATGCATTTTGATACACAGCTTTTATAGAAGAAGCGCATGTAGATCGATATTTCTGCACCCAGTTAGTTTAATAAAAAAAAAAACAAATCGATTACCCTCGGAGTAACCAGCATGACAGGCCTACCTACTATATACAATCCTTTGCCAAGATGGAGGGTTCCTGAAGCCACCACCATTAATGGTGTCAGCACTGTAGCCTACAGTTTTATCAACAATCAATACGAAACTAACGGTTTTAAATTGGCTCACTACTTGACTAGCCTGTTGGTCCCAAGCAAACGATTAACGCACCCCATTCTAGTCGAAATTCTAGTACTACGCAATGTTTGTTTTGATTCGCTATGAAAGTTTGACAGATAAAATAAGGGGTTATTGGTTTTTCCTAAAGAGCCTGAATTTATAAAGAGACGACATGTCAAAATTGGAACAATCGATTGTCTGTCAAAGTCATAGGAAAAGTCATTCCAATCGTGCAGAAGACCTGTCAAATGGATAAGATGTCGCCTCTTTATAAGTTCAGGCTCTTTAGTTTTTCCTATGTTTCGAGGGGTGAATCGATTTGCTTGGGACCGAAGAGAGTACCAGAGCTGAGCCAAAAAGTTGAGCACGTTATTTCGGGACCTTCTGGTCTTAGAGTGACCTCTATCGTTTATGCTATGTTTCATTGACGACACGTATGCGTTAAAAAATCTTATGTGTATAATCATTAATAAACTTGAATTTTTTCTTGATTAGCTTGCATAATTTAGAAATTAATATAATATATTTAATTCCTACATGTACGTGCTTGTTGAACATTTATCACGATTATTTTGCCACGCAACAAACAAATCTATATGGACGGAGCATGATTTGTCAATGTTTGCATCAGCTGTCTTAGATTGGCAGATAATCGAGCCAAAAAACCCTGGGGGGGGGGGACGTGCTGTCAAATCAGCCTACTGATCATTCTTGTATGAAACTGGTTCCAAACGTAAACAAATGCTGTAGGTTTCTTATGGCTTGTTTACGTTTGGAACCAGTTATCCCAGTTATGCGAGGTAGGCGACGATTGTTCGTATCTGAAAGCCACCTCCCCCCCCTTGAAAGAACCAACTACTTCAAGCAAAATTTTGGTGGATGACGTTTGTGCCACCGGAGTGACTATATACCTAATGCACAGCAAAGAAGGGGAAGTTCAAACAAATCGGTGAATCAAAAAGTGGTACATTTATCTGCTTAATAAGCGATGCGTTGTTTAAGCATTCTACACGGGCATTCTTTGCGCACTACCTAGATTAACTGCATGCAAAAGATGTCTTCTACTGCTAGGTGCGCTAGTGTTCGGCAATGAAACGTGGAGCCACATTCTGATCATAAGTTCCACTTCTGTTCTGTGCCTAATGCGTTGCTTGTCGCAAAACCTTACACACTCCCTCTCCCGTTAGCCCAATTCAAAAGCATATGAACGATGAGATCAACTCAAAATTGAGTTGAATTCGACTCAATTTGGCAAAAAGTGAATTTGCTCACAAGTGAGTAAAATTTCCGAGCATTTCCAGGAAAAACTTCTCGATTATGAGAAAAATCGAGAGAAGTTTCGCTCAGTCTATTAGTAAAATGTTCATCAATTTTTCTCATATTCGAGAAGTTTTTCCTGGAAAAGCTCGAAAATTTTACCACTTGTGATTGCTCATTCTTTTTTTGCCAAATTGAGTCGATTTCAAATCAATTTTGAGTCGATCTCATATTGAATTGGACGTTTCGGAAAATTCGTGGAATGCTATTATGGCTAATTATCACACTCCACTGCGCAAGCAAACGACCAGTATCAGTGTCATCTATTTTGCACATTTTCTTATCACTTGAAAGCATTTAATGATAAACAATAATGCTTTGGACCAGAAAAATGTCACGAAGATGAAGTTATTATTAAGCTGCTTTCCCGCTATAGTGCGGTACTTTTAGTCTGGTTGCTTTCCAGATAATATGTATGGTCACGGTGTCTCTGGAAGAAAAGCTTATTTTTATCGGTATCGCTGAAACACCCACCAAACGAAATCTTCTATCGGAGGGTCTAGAACCATTTATATTTATATCGTATTTTTCAGTGCAAATCACATTTAAACATTAACTCTCTCGACCATTGAAGACCAAAAAATAAAAATTACGGATTTTGATACTAGCCTCAAACGAAAGAGGGACACCTAAGATTTCGTTTGGTGGGTCTTCCGGTGATACTTTTTTTTATTTCTAATAATTGTATTCTACCAGAGACACCGTGGGTATGTATGTATGCTGAATTATCTTACTTTTTGTCTCACAGGTACGCCGATATGATCAACGTGTATGCATTCAATTTCACCGATGAAGCGGAAAACAGGACGCACAACTTGGCTCCAATGTACTCCGACTTTACAAGCCCAACAAGCGTGGTAAGTTTGCGTTGGCGGTTGTTCTGTATTCTAATTTAGTTGTCGAATTGAGCTCAATTCAATTCCGATTTTCTGAATTCTTTAAAGATAACATCACATCAGCGGTTCCAAATCACTCAGTAGTCCAAGGTACTTTTAAGAAATTTAAAATATTCGTTTCTTTTCTGTTTCGACTGATAATTTTCCAGAACTCATCAATCTTTGATTGGATGTCGACCAAGGTGCGTAAAGGCAAAATCAACATTGTAGTGGCTACGTACGCCCGCACGTACACGTTAGCGAGGGCAACTCGCACCACCGTTGGATCGCCGATTAGTGGACCAGGAATTGCCGGTTCGAACACCCAACAGGCGGGCTATTTAGCACAGTATGAGCTCTGTGATCTTAAAAGCGATTACATCAGCGTTACCAATGAAACCACCCAGACCGTTTACTTCACCAAGGACTTGAGCTGGATTAGTGCGGAAACGGCCGACACGCTGGTTCAAAAGTACGTTTTCGTGCTCGACAACGCTTTGGGTGGGGCAGCCATCTATTCGCTCGATTGGGACGATTGGAAGAACGCCTCAGGAATGGGCTCATTTGTGGCTGCTGCTCTGGCACAAGAGTATTTCTACTCCGGTACGAACGTGGCTTGAATTTATTGATTTCACTTGTAAACTTTAAACCATTTTGTAGGCACATGGTTCATGATTCTTTGCATATGTGGGTTTAGATACTTTTTAATGCTACTAAGCGGTAAATATATATGTTGCACGTTGCTTAAATATTGGCTTTATATGGACGAGAAATGACAAATGTATCACAATCTGTCTTCTTTTATGACGATTAGCAAGTCTGTGGTTGGTTTATTGGGTGAGCATTTAAATTTGATAAACATCATCTGTACGTCGCTAATGAATTGGCTTCCGACATGTCTTGTGGTTCTGAAAAAAGAACTGTCAACAGTGCCAACTATAACAACAACAAAAATGGTTTAATCGTGACTTACGTAATAGTCGAAAATAAGGTCAGAATTAGGTTCAGAAGTTGGAAGTCAGACTTGTGTGTGGTGCCACAATATATCATCCATATGTGGTTAGCATTTCTATAATGAAAGCAAGATGTGTAAGAATACCAGCTATCTCAAAAAAGTAATACAATTGAAAAATAAATCCTTCTTTCTTATAACGTTTTGTAAATAATTCAATCCAATATGGTTAAGATTTATATTCCTTTATACTTACTTTATACCTATAAGCACTTTACCTCTCTTTTTTGAACGAAACATGGAATGTTTCTATCAAAGATGACTTTTTAATATATTTGCCTTTCCATACGTACCATTGGATTGGAGTTACAAATTGATGAGATATTATTTAAAATCTAACACTGCTTCTTGATTCCAATTCCGTCAAACGAGTTTCAATTCCGTATGAACACGTTTAAACGTCATTGGTTTCTCTTCAGCATATGGATTCAGGCAAAAATAAAATGGACTCGCTAGAGCCACTTCTTTTCTATTTTAGAAGAATGGATGTAAATATTCAAATTATGCGTTTTTATTGAGCTTGAATTATGTAACATTTGAACTAAACTACCGTACATAAATTATGATTGATTCTTTCACGTCGAAATCATTGATATATGTATGTGATGTGTCTGCTCGATGTGACGGAAATTATAAGATAAATTTCAATTAAAGCAATGCGTCATAGCATGAATTTTGGGAAATTTAATATTTAACACAGAAAAAGATTAAGAAATTTTAAATATGGAGAAATCTTTATTTTTAGGATTAGTTACCAGAAAACACTGACAATCTAGAACATTTAAATAAGCTGAAGCCTGATAGGCAAAAATCCAAGAGCTTTCCATCAAAAATGCAATTGGACAGTAGATTGGGCAATACACCTAGTCAGATTAGTTACTTATTTCCTGACTTCTTTCAGGACGTTATTACAATTCACGGTGAGAATGAGCGAGATTATCAATATTTTTCGTATCTCCCCGAGCCAATGAAGAACATCGCACTTGATAATATAACTCTCAAAGACGTGATTTTCAAACCTTGGATGCTTCAAAAGGTGCTGGACCGGATAGTTTACCACCTATTTTTTTAAATTCACTTTCGAAGGAGCTAGCAAAACTTTTATTCTGGCTGTTTAATATATCCTTGGAGTGTATTTTCTACGATTTGGAAGGAATCATTTTTAATTGCAATTTTTAAAAGTGGTAAAACGTCTGATATACAAAAAGTACCGTGGAGTTGCTATATTAATTCCTAAATTATTCGAATCCATCATAAATGACAATGTATTCTTACATATTAGGACGGTAATTATTAGCAAAAAGCACGGATTTGTTAAAGGACGATCTACAGCTACCAACTTGATACATTTTGTGTCAAATGGTTTAAAATCAATGGATATAGGAAATTATGAAGAAACGCGATATACTGATTTTACTAAAGCATTTGACAGAGTGGATATACCACTCTTGCTTTTAAAGCTATCTAAATTAGGCTCCAACCCTAGGCTACTGAAATGGATCGAGTCGTACTTATCACGGCGGACGCAAAAGGTAAGATTTGAAGGATATCGGTCCACCATAGTTATTGTAACATCTGGTGTGCCACAAGGTTCACATCTTGGTCCATAACTGTTTATTGTATTTGTCAGCGATATAGAACATATTTTGAAATTTATTCATGTTTCTTTATATGCTGATAACATAAAACTTTTCATGGAGATATCTAAAGCACCTGATCTTCAAATATTTAAACACGAAATTGAAGTTTTTCCACATGGCGTAAGAAAAATTTGTTAGAACTAAATGTTAATAAATGTAACTCAGTTGGAGGCGAACCAACCTCAGGCTGAAAGCCTCCTTAATAAAGATAAATCAATCAATCAAATGTAACTCTATATCGTTCACAAGAAAGCACGCTGTAATACACGAAACAATTACTCTTGGCAAGAAAACAATCCTAAGACCCTATCAAGTCAGATTTTTTTTCCTCTGTTCGGGACCTAACACTACTGCGACCAGTAAATTGATCTATTGTAGTATATCCCGTTTCCTTAGTTTAGTGCATGTCGTATTACTCCATCACTATTGAGAAATGATGAAGTATTTGATTTTTTTTTACAGTTGCCACTCTTGCATTTATCACAAGGATCGGACTCTAATTGAAAGGTCCCGCTATTTATACCCTTCGGAGTGTTGAAACACCCTCCAAAGCCACGCCCCTTTGTCAGTCAAAATTGGATTCCTTAGCAACAAAATTAAGGCATGACACCGAAAATGACCATGCATCTGAACCATAGTCTTAACCATTTCAAACTAGGGAACAACGAACGGAAGATTAGGAATCACATAGATGAAGACAACTAACTCATTTTTTCCTTGTTTCAAGATCATCCTCGGTAGACAAAGCCAAGTCTTGTCACTATCAACAAGGCATAAAAAGTAACAAGGACTAAGATGTGTTCCTTGGATTACTGAAAAATCCTGTTCCCCTAGTTTGAAGTAGTCAGGACTAGGAATCGGTGGTAGATCTTTAAAGATGGTCGTGAGAAGTCTATAGCAAGTGATGACCAAATATTTAAAATCCATGCAACTAACCGGTCAAACGCTGGTTGGAATTACTCATTGTAGAAAATAGATTTTACATTCAAGTTATAAGTATTCGGGACCTGTAGGAGGTCTAACATTTCGAGATGTGAGCCTAAAAGCTAAGCCACAACAAATATTTTACGGTTTAAAAGCTAAAAAGATCAGAAATGGAAAGCAATAATGATATAATCTTCTTCTCTTTTTGTCATGAAAACTATCTTCGCAATAAATATAGTTCACTAGAAGGAAACGACCAAATTGTTGGCAAGCTGCTTCACGAAGCAACGCCGAAGATGATACACGTGTTGTTAATGGGAATTGTTTGTTATGTATTTTCTCGATTCCGATCAAGCTATGTCCGCAACCATGTATATTACATCAAAGCAGGCAAGCAATATATCATTATCCTTCTACAACTCCGACCAAGCTATATTACAGAGAGAGTTTATCGTGACAGAAGTAGAAAGCGTTTTGTCTTTATCGTAGATTGCTTTATGTGTTTGGATCTGCTGATCGAAAGTGAATTTTACTATATATTTTCAAGTTGATTGTCCACCAGCCAGTGCTGTCAGAAACAGTACAAAGCACCAAATAGAGAAACACCAAATATACTATAATAACACCATAGAGAACAGACGTTGAGGCTAGGACTAAATTTCTGTAAAAACTAGTGCAAGATTCCTATTCGACATAAGCGCCACCAACGCCGACTTCCCCACTTAAAAACCCTCTTTGACAACATGATGGCACTGGCGTTGCATAACGATACTAGCGCCAAATTGGTCGAAAGTGGAAAATTTATAGAGGAAATCAGGAGATGCTAACGCTATCCAACGGCGACGTTCTTTACACACGTTTCTGGTGGAAGTTGGACGTCTGTTCTCTGTGATAACACTCTTTCGCTGGTTAACCGAATTTTAGTGATGAAAGCGCCTTTGTGCCTAAAAAGGCTACCAATGTATTTGTTTATCTTCACGAGGGGCAAACAAAATAAAGATTTGTAAATGTACATATGTGTTTCAGCATATTATTTTATTTAATGATACCAATGACACGTCAGTGAAGTTTTCATGTAATATAGTATATGTAATTAATGAAAATAATTTGATTTTAATTTTTGAAATAAAAGCTTTAAACGCGCCCCTCGATTTTAATCGGATGATTGTCGCAGATCTTTTTTAATGCAAGATGGTGCGTGAGGCAAGTTTTTAGGGTCACCATTGCAATATATGGGAAACATATGAATGGATTATATTGTTTACATGATATACTTGGAAACACTATTATTTGGACAAGAGAAATAGATTTTTATGGCTAGGATAACTAACAACTCCTCCCATTTAATTCCTCTCATTTAATTTTAGTATTTCGACTACAATGTGCAGTCTTCATCAGTGTCATTCCCACTAAAGAACTTATCAAAATCTAACCCCCTCAACTCCCTAGGTAACAATGTCAAGATCATGGATATAAAAATGAAACTACAATGTGCAGAATCAGAATCTACCTAACTAAAAAACCAAAGATTTAAGTAAGCTAAAGAAATAAAATCTATGCAAATCTCTAATAAGGAAAATTCCCAAAGGCTTGGTAGCCATCATAATAAAGTAATGAAATTGGGTTGTTAGTGGAATACTTTAAATAAAACAGCAAAAAATGTTATCTTCCATTTAATAAGTTCTTTAGTGGGAATGACACTGCTGAAGACTACACGTTGTAGTCGAAATACGTATCTGTCATGGATACTAAAATTAATTAGGTTTAATTAAATAGAAGATAACATGTGTTGCTTGTTTATTTAAAACATTCTACTAACAACCCAATATCATTAATTTCTAACAACTCCTCCCATGTCCCATGAACAAGATTTTGATCCATAAACAAAAAAAAATCTACAGTAGTTTTCTTGTTTTGGCATTAACATTGCAATAAGATTTATTGTTTTTATTATTATGGTTTGGTTCATTGTTCATAGGCCTGAATTGCGCTGAACCCTATTGTTTTGTTGTTTTTTTTTAATGTTCGCCATTTTCAACTGAGCACTCAACATTAACATCTTTCGTCTATTTTCTGTCGTTGTTGGGTCGACTCCGTCGGGTGTGACAGAA